TGTGTGTATGCGTGCATGTGTGCGTGTGCGTGGAGTAGACGTGGAGTAGACGTTGTGTAACGTGAAATCGATGTGGTGTAGATTTGGAGTAGACGCGGTGTAGACGTGATATAGACGTGGTGTAGACGGGTTGTGATGTGGTGAAGACGTGATATAAACGTGGAGTAGACGTGGTGTAGACGTGGTGTAACGTGGTGTGACGTGGAGTAGACGAGGTGTAGACGGGATATAGACGTGGAGTAGACGTGGTGTAACGTGGTGTGACGTGGAGTAGACGTGGTGTAGTCGGGATGTAGACATGGAATATATGAGGAGTAGACTTGGTGTAGACGTGGTGTGTCGTGGTGTGACGTGGAATAGGCGTGGAATAGACGTGGTGTAGACGGGATGTACACGTGGAGTAGACTTGGTGTAACGTGGTGTGTCGTGGTGTGACGTGGAATAGACGTGGTGTAGACGTGGTGTAGACGTGATGTAGACGTGGAGTAGACTTGGTGTAGACGCGAGCTATTGCCAGACATGGGTATGTTCATCTTCCCCTACCCGCGATACATAGCAATGAGGCAATATCCGCGGAGCGGGGATCAATGTAGCATCACAGAATCATCTTCACCAACACCACCGTCCCTGCCTGGAATCGTGTTGATCTAGTGCCAGGCAAGGATAGTCTGGTGATTATAGCATTTACCACGCAAGTAGGCCTACAACTGATGCCAGAATATGAGATGACAGGCGAGTCACGTAATAGGGGCAGCTAACAGTAACATGCACAGTGTGGCAGCTTGACTGGGGTGATATCAGCTTCGTCCTAACAATACAAATACAAGTCTTTATGATACAAGGACACAAGTACACAAGTAGGTATGATCAAATGACAAGTATACAAGGAGCTATGTTAGTGTAAGGAGATGTTAGTCGCTATGGAGCTCATTTGACCAGTGGAGCTCAATGCTTCACATTCCTGTTAATGCGAGATGTTATATTGCAACTTCAAGTTGGGAAATACCACGTATATATTCTCAAAAAATAATACGTGATGATTTAATATATTTCAGTGGAGAGTTATTTCTACGACATGAGAACTGTCTATACATGTAAGTGTGTCGTAGACACAGCCTACAGTCGGCAGTTGGATATTGGATACTCGTCATCGGGAAAAGAACACCCCTCACATACATTACATGGTAATGCTTTGACGTCACGTAGAACACGGGCAGCTCGACCAACATTTTAGAATCCTAATTTGTTAAACCTGCTGCGGAATGCAATATATCTATTTCAGACACTGAAGTATTACTTTGCTATTGATTGAAACAAAACTCAATTTGTTTATTGATATATTGTCAGTAACAGATGTGAAGACAGCCTCTCCATGCTGATGGCTTTCTGTTGGGAACAAAGGCGTCAAAATAAAAGTGACATAAGCCATTGTCCTTTTTCGGTTTATATTTGTTTGTGTTTGTTGTAATAATTGACAGTTGTGATTACAAATAATATTTATCAGGGACTTAGAAGTTTAATATGGAAAACTTTTAGGGCCACTTGTTTTTTGTGTGTTCAAGATCCATACGTTGAAATTTAAAGTTAAATCTTAAAATTTCCCCTTATTATCTTGAAATTTCACAATCATTATCTTGAAATTTTATCTTATTATCTTGAAATTTCAAGAAAAAAATAATGTAGCAGATGGACCTAAAAGGCTTCCATAGTTTTAGCTTCTCCATGTCTCTCGTGTTTTACAGATTCCTATTAATAAGCAAAACTTCGCAAAACTTCCCAGTGCCTCAGCGTCCCAATGTGCTAGTGCATTTACATATGTGACTGCGCTGCTACAGGGCTGACTGTGGTCTCTGGGTCACGCCGGTATGATTGTCTGACACTGTGCCCCTTCCATCCCTGGTGTAAACCCCAGTGTCTTTCTTTTCCTTTCTTGACTCAACAATATGAACTTACCGATATCTTGCTAGGTCCGTGCACGAGAACTTTGAAGAAGGGCGTGGCGCCATACAGTCGCGTCACGTTAGCCAGCAATGACGTCATATCGAAACTGCTGTCACGTGTGTTGTTCGTCAGGTGGAGACCCCCCAGGGAGTGGAAGAATTCCGTCACTGTGGAAGACACAACGTCACTTCAGCATGTCTGTTTCCACTTCAACACAACTTGCGATGCTGTATCCCTGCTGATGTCTGACATAATTGTCCAAGACATATCTATCTATACAGGACGGCTGATTATAATTCACTCAAATACATAATACACACAATCAAATATCCGACTGACTGAGCTGAAGTGAACTTTCTTACACTCAGGCCGCTAGCAGCGACATTAGAGATACAAGTATTGATTAAACAAACTGTATGTACAGGAAAACAGGATTACAATGTCATAAATATCTTTTCCGAGCAGTCGGATCAGGTACAGGATACAGCTGAAAATTTGTAAAAACATTGATGAGATATTCCTTGATTATTTTACATAACTTAGATAATTTTCTCGATGTTCCCAATCTTCGGCTATTAAAATGAGAATCAAGACCTACATATGGTTTAATATAGTAATATTTATAAATGAGTTGTTTCCTCTCTTTTTCAAGCAGATAGTTAAATACGTCACATATTTCATACAATCGGCAGAGTGGGCATTTGTTTCGGTTAATGACACAATCCAATACAATACTGACGCAATCAAATGTACAATTCTGACGCAACCAAACACCCCACTGACGCTCCATATCCTAACTTAATTTCAATTTACAGGAAAAAAGGTTTCCTTTGAAAATGAAGAAAACCAAGCATTGCATTAACTAAATTACAGTCAAAAGTTAGGTCAGCTCCAGACGACACTAGGGGATGGTTGAGGTTACTTGGAAAGCACCTTGCCATTACGTTTATTCTTTCATTACAAATTCAAATGACACGTTTTCCTCTCAGAAAAGAGAGCATATGAACTTTGTGAAATTTACAGAAAACTTTCAACTAGTCTTCGTCCGTGTCAAAAACTTCAATAAGGAATGGAAGAAATGCTGCCCCGGTTAATTCAAAGCTCTCGTGGTTAGATTGACATATTTTCATTGCAAAAACAATTATAGGGCTTTCCGCATTGAGCGACGAGGTGATCAAAGTCAATTACTCTACGGTTTGAGCAAAAACTCCTTTCAAATTGTTCCAACTCTTATAATCTTAAGATCACTTAATTTCGACTTTTTGAATCGTTGAACTTTACAGAATGAGAAAAACGTGTGTCAAATTACAAAATAAATTTCAAGCGGCAAAAGGCTACACTGGGAAGAAACGGGTTCGTGCAAATAGGCTGATGTGATGGATGTCACCACGGCATATACGGACGGGGAACATAGGGCAACACTTTTGTTTTACTTGTGTAACTACTTCCAAGATATCCTCATCGGTTGCAAAAATACGTTCCACTTCCTTTAACGACGTGAAAAGTGTTGAAGGTCGTACAGAGCTTGTCCCATGATATCAGAGGTCCTATCATCAGCAACTTGCTTCACACAGTTATTTCACTCTCGGTGATGTAACCGCAGGCGAAAACAAAACAGTTTTACGTATTTAGCTGATATCTAACACGATTAGTTTCAGTTGATTGATTTAGATCAAAACACATGTAGTAATGTGGATGTCGGAAAGAAATTATACCGTTTGTTCATTGAAAAAAACTTTGTTCTCGAGTGTAGCAGCGTTGCTATCTGGACACCAGCGCTAACACCAAGCTTGATGACCTCATTCAGATGCAGAGCTCAAGGTTACAGTGCCGTGTGTGCTGTGGTGTTGTGTGCTAGCTGTAGGCTGTGCTGTCTGTTTGTGTAGAGTTGTCTGTTTGTGTAGAGTTGTCTGTGTAAAGTTGTCTGTTTGTGTAGAGTTGTATGTTTGTGTAGAGTTGCATGTTTCTGTTGTGTGCTGTGATGTATGTTTGTGTTGTGTGTTGTGTTGTGTTGTGTGTACATGCAGTGTTGTATGTTTGTGTTGTGTTGTGTGTACATGCAGTGTTGTATGTTTGTGTTGTGTTGTGTTGTGTTGTGTTGTGTTGTATGTACATGTAGTGTTGTATGTTTGTGTTGTGTGTTGTGTTGTATGTTTGTGTCGTATTGTGTTGTGGTGTGTGTTTGTGTTGAGTTGTGGTGTGTGTTGAGTTGTGGTGTGTGTTTATGTTTTTCTTGTGTTGTGTTGGGTGGTGTGGTGTAGTTTATATTTGTGTTTTAAGAGCTTTCATTTCTACACAGTGGGGGTGGGGCAGCCTTGCTAGTAGTTAAACCGCTGTTGGCTCATCACACCGAAGCCACGGGTTCCATTCCCCACATAAATACACTGTATGGTGCTAATTCTTAGTCTTCCCCGCCGTGATATTGCTGGAATATCGCTTAAAAGCCAACTCAGACACGTCTACACATTCACCTTTTTTCATCCTACTTCCAACTCTCCCCCCACATCCACTGCCTGGTCAGAAATACTATAGATAGGAGTCGGAAATCTGTCACTCATCCCCGCACCCCGTTAGTATGTTTGGCAGTGACCTTTGCAGACCAGATACAAATGTAGAGGGCAATATATACTTATTATACAGCCATCACAGCCATCCCCAAATGTGTTTCTTCAGTCAGAGACAACATCTCCAGGCCGTATTCCATCTCGGATGAAGGACTGCTTAACCATGCTGGTCTATGTAGCATTACGGATCCCGCTTTCATTGAATGCTAGAGCTTGATTTGGATGTGTTAACGGCCTTTTGGAGGTGCAGTTTCCTGTTGTTAGGTGGCAAAACTGTGAGATAAACAGCACACCGTCAAAGGTTGACAGCAAGTCGCGGTTCACAGGCCCTACTTATTGATTCTACGATTCTGCCTCTACTCTACTGCCTTCGGAATTAGTGAGATGCTCTGCGCAACGTGTCCACAAGAAGACGCTTGCTGTCAATGCCGTTTGGGGAACTAAAAATATTTGACAGATTGGAGAAGTACCAGACAAGGGCATGTGGAAGATGTTGCCGATGAGGCAGTTGTGTGGTCGTCAAGGTGTCAGCGGGACCAACCTGTCTCGCGATCAGTCGTCAAGCAAACACGGTTTCAGGTTAAACAGAGACAACGTGTAGTTTATGTAAGGTGAGTTGGTGAGTTGGGTATTACACCGCTTAAAGCAACATTCCAGCAATGTCAAGGAGGGAGACATGAGAACACGAACACGTTGACTTGCCTCCCCCAGGACCCCATAGTATGCAGCTTACAGGTCCAGTCTATATGAAATATTGTATTGAAGTAAAAAGAAAGTGTCCTTCATTATTTCCAGGAGACCCACGACAAGATTTCCTCCGGCAATGACGTTATTAAATCAGATTCACATCTACTGGTTACACGTCTACGTTTATCTTTAATTATATTTTTACTTTTTCGAAACATTAAAAAAGTTCAACTTCCTGCCATATTTCGAATGTCTTCTGACATTTTCAGACTTGACGTTCTGACATTTGTGCATTGATTTATGTTTTAAAGGTAATATGTATAACTCTCTCAAGACAGTCTACCGAGCTACTTCCGCCACAAGCGCATGTGTCTATTGACTTAGGGGCCTACTTGTGACTCGGGTGACGTCATCGACCCTTGATGATCTGGAGATGCATGACTTGAATACCGCTCGCAGAGCCTTCAAGGCAGGACTGTCACTGGTTTCCTGGCCACTGGACAGCGTATCTGACAACAACAATGTATAGCATCTTGTTATTCTGTCAACTAGATAGCGTATGTGACAACAACAATATATAGCATCTTGTTATTCTGTCAACTAGATAGCGTATGTGACAACAACAATATATAGCATCTTGTTATTCTGTCAACTAGATAGCGTATGTGACAACAACAATATATAGCATCTTGTTATTCTGTCAACTAGATAGCGTATGTGACAACAACAATATATAGCATCTTGTTATTCTGTCAACTAGATAGCGTATGTGACAACAACAATATATAGCATCTTGTTATTCTGTCAACTAGATAGCGTATCTGACAACACTATATAGCATCTCGTTATTCTGTCAACTAGATAGCGCATCTGACAAACAAATAAACATGTGAGTGTGTTTGTCCTTGTGTACTACTATTACTGTTACTACTACTACTACTACTACTAATAATAATAATAATAATAATAATAATAATAATGCAAGTCCACTGAAATACCATGCCGCAGTTTAACATGAAAACCCCATATTATACTGACACCAAGCGGACCAGTAATGCCAAGCGACAGGCAGAATATCAACAAGTACCTTCTTTAATTTTATTTTGGGATGACACGGCCTGGGATCGAACTACAGACCTTCCACTCTCAGAGCAAGCGTGCAAACCTCTAGACCACTGAGGCGGGCAGATGTTATCCCATCTGTAGCTGAAGCAGTGTCTAAATCGTTCCCCCATGCAGATACTAGTAAATACACGTCACAAAGCCTATTTTATGATCTTAAGAAATCATTCCGACTATATACTAGACCATGTGTTTATGAATCACTATCAAACAGGGATGAAACCAGGATGATATAACACACATGCAAAGGCAAGTCAATTGTTCAACTAAAAAATAAACATAGGAAGACATGGTCATGATGAAATGTCCTCCACAACTACCATAAAACATTTTGAAAACTTTCTCGAGGCCTTGAATGTTAAAACCTTGATTTCACAACTTTTAAGCAAGAGTCGTATGATACTTTTTTAAATGCTCTTAGACGCTCGATTGTATCTTAAAAGTTGTGAAATGTGAACACCAAATTCTGAAGTTGCTGTAATATTGTTCGACATGATTGGAAAGTTGAGTATTGGAATGTTGTATTCATCCACCTTGTCATGACGTTTTGTCTATAGCGTTCTGTTCCTCTGAATCTTTATGTATTGATCTTCATATGAAACAGATGGGGTGCGCTAATTGGTTTCTAGCTCAGGTGAGTAAATCAGTGGAAGGAAATTGGCTTTATGACCATTATTGAATGATATCAGATTATCTATATACCTGGAGCTTAATCTGAACTTCTTGGACAAATTCCTTTGTTGCCTTCTTCACGTCTAGATGACCCATCTCCAATTCCGGGTACTATTTCACAGTAATGTTTACCTATGAGGTATGTCTTGTATCTGTGGGGTCTGTCTGTTAGGAACAGGTATGTGGTCAAATATTTACCTATGAGGTATGTCTTGTATCTGTGGGGTCTGTCTGTTAGGAACAGGCATGTGGTCATATATTTACCTATGAGGTATGTCTTGTATCTGTAGGGTCTGTCTGTTAGGAACAGGTATGTGGTCAAATATTTACCTATGATGTAAGTCTTTTATCTGTGGGGTCTGTCTGGTAGGAACAGGTATGTGGTCAAATATTTACCTATGAGGTATGTCTTGTATCTGTGGGGCAGTTCATCTGGGATCTCACGGATCCTAGTTTTGTTCCACGTCAACCGTGTCCGGGCGATGTAGCCACCGCATGCAAAACTGTAGAAATTCTGCAAATACAAAAATCCAAAATGGCTCAAATAAGAACAACAACATAGTAATAATCATATTTTTTAACATTTTACTTTCCGTCATCTTTTAAAAACCTGGCGATTATTAAGATGAGGGTGCTCCTGGAGAGAACTGGATGTCTCGTGGGTACACGACTAGTGAAACACTGGTATCTGTATCGTGTTCGTCTTGTGTCATATGTTTCGTAAATAATCGGTTTAGAATTATCAAATACAGATAATTCCAAAATCAAATATTAATCACGAACAAGCACTCATCAAGTTTGCATACACGACAGGCAGCCTAATAGCGAGGCAGCGGCGTTAGATATAGCTGCACTACCAATCACTAAGGCACAGTGGGACATCCCAAGCGTGTCAAACGGTACTCGCTGTTCCCCTGTTCAATTAAAGTCCCCTAACGGTATCAGAGCAGTTGTATAGTTCAACGAACACAAATAGATCAAGTCTTACCAACGTCTGACGCATGTAACTAATAGCATACAACGTGTTGTACCAACTAGTTGCACCATGTGAACGGGGCTTTATCATGTCCAGCACCTCAACGCTGAACCATCGGTCAGTTCTCGGGGAATATATGGAGTGTATGATTTATACACCGTGTACTAACCAAGTTATGAAGCACTCTGCCACCATGTACTATCTATCTCATAAATATGACCATGGCAGCTCGAGTCACAAGGAAAGGTCGGAACCAATTGGTCGGGTCAAGTTTAGGCAAACAGTGGCGAGGAGAATTCATAGATCTCCCGGTTCTGCTGGAATTACAAGTTTGGACATCAGTTTGGATCAACTAAGTGAATTATTGGCAAACATTTGACAGTAACTACGTCGTTTTGGGCAGTAATCAGCCCTGCTTTGTCTGGCGAAACCCTTCACACCTCAAACCCCCGCCATCTTGCTGAAACATGCCGCTGATGGTCAAGTAACTCGATAACCGGAAATGACCTCAAATCCCGTTAATCCGGGGATCTAATCAAATATCTTATTTCCTCCACCTGCTTGCGATTCTTAGACACTCGATGGTTCGGAAATAATCGCATTAGGGGAGGCGATTCTTACACTCGTGAGCCAGGGGACAAATAGATACGGCAAATTGGTGGAGGTGAAGAGGCCTGAATTGATGGGACAATCTCGGAGCGTTTCTCTGCTACCATTCTCCTGGTGTTGATACAGTATGTGATGGGCTGGTCAATCTTCCAGTCTTGATGAGACCTGGCGTGGTGAAAGAAACACAACTTGTTTTGAATTGAGGGTCGGAAAATCCGAGAATGAACTTTAGTTTTACATTGTGGAAGAGAATTAGAATTTCCATCTCAGAAAACGCAAGTCAAAGCTTTTTAGCTCGAGCAAACAAGCGTGAAATTCTCTGCATTTCCCTCAGAGCGAATGGAGATAGTTCTTTGATGGTCCTCAGACCGAAGGCTCCACACACTACTTGTGACAATGTCTCGTATAATGACCACTCAATCGGACCCGGTATCCCGTGCAAGAAGCAGTGGGAGGTTATGCAAAAGCACAACTTTGACATTGTACTCTTTGAACAACTTAGATTTCTTAATTCAGGACACAGGAAGTTTTTTTGTGTGGCCGCACTTGAGGGGCCACTTAACAATAAGCTGGTAATCTAATTAATGATAATCTTTGATTTTTCAATTTGGCCAAACTGTGATTGTTAGGACAAGATTATGATTAACAAAATATCAAATGTCGTCAGACAACTGTAGGACGGTCACTCTTCTTTCCAAACAGTCGCCATATAACTGTAGGGCGGTCACCCATCTTTCCAGACAGTCGCAAAAAAATGTAGGACAGTCACCTTTCTTTCCACACAGTCGCCACACAACTGTAGGATGGTCACCCTTCTATCCAGACAGTCGTAACACAACTGTAGGATGGTCACCCTTCTATCCAGACAGTCGCCACACAACTGTAGGACGGTCACTCTTCTTTCCAGACAGTCGTCACACAACTGTAGGACGGCCATCCTTCTTTCCAGAGAGGCGCCACACAACTGTAGGACGGCCACTCTTCCTTTAAGACAGTCGTCACACAACCATAGGACGGTCCCTCTTCTTCCCAGGCAGTCGCCACACAACCGTAGGAAAAGACAAAGCTGCAGACTGTCTGCAATGAATTGCACTCACTCACTCACAATATTAAGCTTGAGCTATTGTTATGCCTACAACCCGCTGTGTCGACCGAGCGTTACACAGTCCGTAACATCAATATGTGTCTTTTAGGTGTTCTTGTCGTGATTAATTAAATAAACCGAATATTATTTTAATGGAGAGCATTGAAGAACAAATCTGAATATTATCAAAGTGCTGGGATACTCAAATCGTTGAGAAACAATGCCGGATTTAATGTGGAGGAGGCATATTGAACAACACGGCCTCAATAACCTCTCATCTCCTCAATAAGATGTGATAAATATTATATGTTCTGTCAATAACGGATACTTCCACTTCCCGGGAGGGCGCAAGCAGTCAATAGCCACCATTACTGCCACACACAATTCCATAGGAATGTCTCCGTCGTCTTTTCTAATAATTGAAATTCTATACTATCATAATGGATTTCGATTTATTTAAGTATTTTGCTGATCAATTACTGAACGATATGCCGGGGGGGGAGTTCACGATTGGGACTAATTTGATAAAAAGCAAAACGATTCTTTGGACTATTTTGTGAATATTGACGTCAATACTCGTGTCCTAAGTATAATCACCGCCATATTTACACCTGATCAGTCACCAAAATAAGATGCATTGTGTGCATCCAGTAATATAATTGTATAACTGTATTCCGTGTTACTTAGACCACCTTGAATTACCAAGTGAATGAACGTCCTACATATTCATTGATCACTTGATTGTCTGGTTTGTTTACAGGCCGCCGTCGCATGACAGGTGTACTTCTGGGCGGCAGTAGGTAATAAATGACTACCCTTATATGCGAATTGTGTGAATTGTGGGTTCTACCGGTAGGGCAGGACATACCTATCCTTTTCGCAAACATCTGGCGTCATCACTGATTTTCAGTGGTCATTTCATATAATTTTCACAGCTATTTTGCACTTAGCGACAGATGAAGTCTGTCTCGGTGGTTATACGCAATATACATCCTTCCAGTGTGACTCCTGTAGCGTCATGTTTAATATCCTACCGTGCAGTATAGCTTAAATAGTATCCAGTCTTTGAATGACATGTTGAAGTGATACACATAGGGAAGAGAATATATGGATGTCAGCTTCTTATTACGAGGAACACAACGTGATGAAGCAGTAAGCATATACCCCTACGTTGTTGACGTCCATACATTCTCTTCCTCAAATAGCATCGTTTGAAATATCCGCCCCCAAAGTATAATTCATATTGTATCATATGTAACATACGTCCCTACAGTATAACTCAAATAGTACCACATGAAGTATTCGCCGCTAAAGTATAATTCATGTTGTATCATATGTAATATACGTCCCTACAGTATAACTCAAATAGTACCACATGAAATATCCGCCGCTAAAGTTTAATTCACATTGTATCATATGTAATATACGTCCCTACAGTATAACTCAAATAGTACCACATGAAATATCCGCCGCTAAAGTATAATTCATGTTGTATCATATGTAATATACGTCCCTACAGTATAACTCAAATAGTACCACATGAAATATCCGCCGCTAAAGTATAATTCACATTGTATCATATGTAATATACGTCCCTGCAGTATAACTCAAATAGTACCACATGAAATATCCGCCGCTAAAGTATAATTCATGTTGTATCATATGTGACATACATGTACGTCCCTTCAGTATAACTCAAATAGTACCACATGAAATATCCGCCGCTAAAGTTTAATTCACATTGTATCATATGTAATATACGTCCCTACAGTATAACACAAATAGTACCACATGAAATATCCGCCGCTAAAGTATAATTCATGTTGTATCATATGTAATATACGTCCCTACAGTATAACTCAAATAGTACCACATGAAATATCCGCCGCTAAAGTAGAATTCACATTGTATCATATGTAATATACGTCCCTGCAGTATAACTCAAATAGTACCATATGAAATATCCGCCGCTAAAGTATAATTCATGTTGTATCATATGTAATATACGTCCCTACAGTATAACTCAAATAGTACCACATGAAATATCCGCCGCTAAAGTATAATTCATGTTGTATCATATGTAATATACGTCCCTACAGTATAACTCAAATAGTACCACATGAAATATCCGCCGCTAAAGTATAATTCACATTGTATCATATGTAATATACGTCCCTACAGTATAACTCAAATAGTACCACATGAAATATCCGCCGCTAAAGTATAATTCATGTTGTATCATATGTAATATACGTCCCTTCAGTATAACTCAAATAGTACCACATGAAATATCCGCCGCTAAAGTATAATTCATGTTGTATCATATGTAATATACGTCCCTACAGTATAACTCAAATAGTACCACCTGAAATGTAGCCTCGTATCATTGAAAAAGTATCATACGTGATGCTCCGGGTTTGAATTGAACTTCAGCAACCCATGTTTGTCGTAAGAGGCGACACACGGGATCGGCTCGCTGACTTTGTTGATGCATGTCATCGTATCCCAAATACGTGTATTGATGCTCATGAGATCAATCACTGGATTGTCGGGTCCAAACTCGATTATTTACACGCCGCCGTCATATGGCTGGAATATTGCTAAAAGCGACGTTAAACAAACAAACAAAATCGTATGTAATATCATGATCAATATTAATCCTGTAGTATCATATGATCTTTTATGTGTTCCTCGTTATTTGGATGGTCAGCTCAAGTGATGCTGATACCCATATCACAAGCAGGCAATCCCATGGTGCTATCAACTCAACATGACTCTCCAGACTGTGACCGATGGCAGCCATGTTCCTTTGTCCTGTAATCTAGCTTATTACAACCATTATGCA